GGGGGAGGTATTTGAGTAAAGTGCAAGTTCTTAAATCCAAAAGGATAAAAAATCGGATCGAGAACCGTTGATTCCGTTTTCATAAGATATGCAACAAATAGTAAGGCATATCATTTTCTGATTCATAAATCAGAAAATCCCGACATTATTAATACGGTAATCGAATCAGATAATGCTGAATTCTTTCCGTATAAAAATAAATGTGAGTCGTCTTGTGAAAAATCTAAGCGGCCTCGAGAAGAAGAAAAGGAAAGTATGTTTAATGAGAAAAATCCAAGATGTAGTAAACGTTAAAGGACAACTACTTCCTTTGGACCAGACTTTCTGACATTTTTGTTAGAAAATGAGTCTCAAACGTTTAAAGAAGTGATGTATTCCTCGGAAGTACAATATTGGAAATAGAATCCATATTGAGTAATCATACTTGGGAATTAGTTGATCTTCCTCCTAGAAACAAACCTTTGGGTTCTAAGTGGATTCTCAAAAGGAAAATGAAAGAATATAAGGCAAGATTAGTTGCCAAAAGGTTTAGACAACGAAAAGGTCTTGATTATTTTGATATATACTCTGCGGTTTTGAAGATTACATCTATTCTGATGTTAATAGTGTTAGCCGTTGTGTATGGCCTTGAAATCCACACTTCAAGAAATCGGGCTTTCGGTGGCGACAAATATCGCCACTGCAACTAGAAAAGGCGCCACAAAAGGGTATTCGTGGCGACTCCGTGGCGACCCCCTAGTCGTTGACTATACTAAGTGGCGGATACTTATTAGCGGCGACCATTCAACGTCGCCACAAAAAGATATATATTAGCAGCGACCTTCACCGCCACCAAATTGACCCACGAAAGTTCTTCAAAAATGGGTTGCCATTGACAATGGTACGTTTAGTGGCGATCAACGCGCCACCAAAGACCTACAGTAGCAATATCAAGTCGCCACAGAAAGTGTTTAATTTTTCTTAGGTTGCCACTAAAACCTATTATCTGTGGCAACTTCGGTCGGCATTGAAGTATCTCTTTTTTAAAAAAATAATAATTAATTGACAGCTAATTTTACTACTTTACCCAACAACATATCATATTATAAGAAACACCACCAAATATAATTGAAAAAAATGACATAAACTTTTCATTACCATCTATTCTACAAAGTATACACCATCCATAATACATTCAATTGTGCATAACACATGGAAAACAAAATCAATTGTTTATGGATTCCTCCTTGGCCAACATCCATTTTCCTTTTCGACGAACCTTTGTCCCTGCAATTTAAAGAGCAAAAATGCCAATGATCATTTTGATAACCCTCGTAACAGAAAGAAACTTTTTCTTTATAATATGTGAAGTACTTATCAAATCCAACTAAGGTTCATATCAACTTATATACAAGACAGACTTATGAAATGAACAACTTCAGTAACCACTACTGCTGACACCAGTAAACCTTCATCTTTACCCTAAGCACTATCCTTTTATGGCATCCTAATTAATCCAAAACTGATAGACATTAAGGTCTTGAGTACTGTATAATATTTTTCTCAAATTTGTGACTTCTAATGAAATTGAAAACATCTCTCAGCAAACTAGCAGAACCTCCAAATAAATCATGGCATTACATATTGTTGAAAGTTCAGAGAAAAAATCAAAGCGTTGAGCATAATATATCGTACAACATGTAAAGCAAAGAATAATATTAAAATGGCAAAAGGATATACCTGGACAAGCAGTTTAGATAACCTGGGACGAGCAGTGCTAGGCTGAATTTAGGAGTGACTCCTTTTGGCCGTCCCTGAAATTTCAATAAGCAAGATAACGTAAGAGTTGACATATCCTCGTTAATTTAGTAAAATGTGGAAGAAGAGAGTAAACATCAAGAAAGTTACAATACCTTCTAAAAGGTTATTACTAGAATTTTACTAATTTCTTGATAACTAGCTATCCATATACACACGATTTCCTATGATAGTGGCAGGAGATAAATAGGTAGAATTACAATTCCAAGTTGATGTTGCAATTTTATATTTTTTTAAAAAGATACAAGTTTCTTAAGAGTAATTTTGCATATCACCTAAAAATGAATCTTATGTTGTTTTGAAATAAATAATGAGATTATCAAATTAACAAATTAATTATCAATCATACAATAAATATAATGCACCACTCACATGTGCAAACTGTATTAGCAACACATCAGATGAGATTTTTAAACTTGTATTTGACCATGAAGAGCCTTGCCAGATACTGCAGCTTTATGCAGTACTAACAGTGTGCCCATCTACACTTGAGTCAAACCTTCTTTAGATATTAACTATTACATACTTAAATATAAAGTGTGAAACTAGTTAGTAAACAGAATGATTATTAAAATGTAACTTATAGTATTTGATTATCTTGCCATAAAGGAGAAACTAGTTTCTGTATCTTGTCAGATAGCTTCTGGCTTCTCCTCGCAGACACCTACAACATAAGCAAAAATTCACCCCTTTCTAGAGCTAGTAACTTAATTTGGTATTTACAGGATGTGCGCATACCATGGCATCAATTATTATAGGGAAAAAAGAGTTGCCCTTTATCTTTGAATGTCCTGGTGGTAACTAAATGCTCTTGAAAGCCCCTCTAAGTTAGAATTTGATTGTAATTTGAAGCTCTATATCACGTAATACTAAGCAATGTTTGATTTTGAGTCCAAGAAGCATGATATTAGAAGAGAAAGAATCAAAAATAGTTAAAGTAACCACACTTCAATTGTCTTTTACTATCAAGTTACCTTGGTAGCAGTGACATCTGAAGCACCCCTATCTGATCCATACAGAATAGTACGAAGGTATTAAGGGATCACACACCTTATACTCAATCACCATTCTCATGTTGTTAGAGATTCAACCTTAAAATATATATGCAGAAACTGATTTATTCAGTTCTCAGTCAATAGAAGCACAACTCAGTTGTAGAGAAGATACTTAAATCTATTGTACAGAGGATGTTCCACAGAATATGTATTTTTCTTTCAAAAATTAAGACTACAAGGAGATTTATTTACAATCATTTGTAAAAATACAATTACCAAACTGAAAGGCATACGACTGAGTGGACAATCAATGTGAAATTTCATGCATGTCCAAGTCTATATGTATTTACCAGTAAAATTCATATTATTTTTAACACTAAACATATATGAGCAATTGATAAAGAGTCCTTTTTATATTTTGAAACGATAACAAACATAAAAGTGGTGCCAAGATCAGTTAACAAAGCAAGCTCTTGCAAATTCCAATTAGAGAACTTTGCTATATGCCTAGAAATTAAAACATGAAATGACTTAATTTACAGGATAAAGAGCCTCAAGAAAATGTATGGAGGTAAAAATTAGAGTCGCTCAAACACTGAAGCAAAGAAGGCAACAAAAAATCCAAAAAGCAAGTCAAATTGAAATAACCAACACACATCGAAAAAGTACAATCACATCCACAAGAAAATAGCACATCTCCAAATTACATAAATTTAAGCAATCAACTCGAAAAAATATACTTACGACTGACTATATAGCAGTCGAGCCAACGAATCTTATCCACTATCCGCCCTATTTCTGGCTAAATTCCACCCTTGTCATTGTAATTAAGGGGATGGTAGTAGCATCATGAAAGGGGTAGAGAAGACGAAAAAGATTAAAAGGAGTCGTCGGATTTGGATTAGTGATTTATAGGTCGAAGAGACGAAATCGTCGGTGGAAGTTGCTCAATTGGATGAATTTGGGGAAGGGGAAGATATGGTTTTACGGGGAGGTTTGAGGGTAATGAGATTCTAGGGTTCGTTGGGGGCTGGCATGGGGTGGGGTATGGGCTTGGGGAACGTTTATGGAAAGGAAATTTGGGTTTGAGTCTGACCACTTTTTCTTTTTTATTTGGTTACTTTTACTTCTTCTTTTTTAAAGTATTAAAAGTAAGAAAAACATGGGTCGAGTATGATTTCATCTGTATGTTTATTTTTATGACTATTTCAGCTTCACCTCCTACAAATTGAAGAATATAATAATATCTTATATTCAACTATAATTTATTGTATTTATTTTACATTATATAAATCATAATAAGTTTATTTTTTTAATAACAAACATTAAGGAGAGTAATTGCTTATTCAGACCACTTAATATTTATAATGTGAATTCTAATTAATTAGTAGTATATTTCTATTATAGTATTTTAATAGTTGCAATGATTCTTGGATCAATAGAACTGGAAGAGGAGGATTAATGGAATATATAAGATAAACAATGCAAGAATTCTTGGAAGCTGTAATGCCTTTCTTGGGTATTAAAAGGTCACCAAAAATATTATCTTTCCTGCCGAGTAAGTTGCCAAAAAAACTGTTGTTATTGGAAACAAAAATTCAGTTAACATTTGTGGCGACTTATGTAAAGTCGCCACCAAAACAATCACTTTTGTGGCAACTATTTTTTATCGCCACAGAAACTTTTGCTTTTGTAGCGATTTTACAGGTTGCCACTACAAATATCATGTTCTGTGGCGACCTTAAGAAGTCGCCACGAAAACCCTTACTTGTTGTGGCAGCTATAAGGGCCGCCACAAATCGTTGCCACTAAAAATCCTATTTCTCGTAGTGCCATCAGATGGACGTAAAGACAGTCTTCTTAAATGGAGATTTGGAGGAAGAAATTTATATGGAATAACCTAAAGAGTTCGTGGTTCCTGAAAAAGAAAGAAGGTGCGTCGACTTGTTAAGTCACTTTACGGACTAAAACAAGCACCCAAATAATGACATGTGAAATTTGACCAATTATTATTGTCATGTGGATGATATGTGGATAACGAATAATAAAAAAGGCACATATATTTGAAATGTGGGGGCATTTAGCTTATGCATGACAAAAGCCAATATTAGACATGATGTCTATATTCCCACAAATATTGGAAATCAATATGGTAGACGGTAAACTCATTATTTGTTCAGTCTTAGTGAAGACTAGTTGAGTGAAACTACCAATTCAGAAATTGGTCACTTGCCTTTCTCGAAAGGTTGTTTCTTTCTTGAAAATTTATATTGTTTAGCTCGTTTATGAAAGGATGTCACTTCGAAGGTTGCAACTTTTTATGAAAAGTGCATTCGTATGTTTTGTATAAACATGATTGTTCATGAACGGACGTATTAATACGTTAGTCTATAATTAGTTGAACCAACCGATGAGCACGATCAAAATCCATTGCAAGCCGGATTTATTTCATGAATGAAGGTAAGGCTAGAAAGTGGGCAGGTCCAGGCCCGGGACCGCGGGCCAAACGGGCCAGGACCGTTAGGACCGATTTTAGTGGGCCTGGACTGGTCTCCTGGGCCAGTCCTATGCTTTGGGCCCGCCAGGACCGGGACTGTAACAACCCGGCCGGTCGTTTTGAGTATTACAACCCTGTTTCCCTATTTACTACTCAAATTGTACTTTACAGTTGTTGTGTGAATTGCCGAAATAATTGGTTTGGGTCCGGTGAGGTTTTGGAATGAATTGGAACACCTAGTTCCAAGGTATAAAGTTTAAGTTAAAATAGTGACTGAATATCAACTTATGTATAAACGACCCCAGAATAGAGTTTTGATAATTTCAATAGCTCCGTATGGTAATTTTGGACTTAGGAACGTGTCCGAAAATTNTGACTTTTTGATATCGAGTTCGAAATCCGATTCTGGAAATTAAAATAGGTCCGTAATATGAAGTGTGACTTGTGTGCAAAATTTGAAGTCATTCCTAATTGATTTGATGTGTTTCGACACAAGATGTAGAATTTAAAAGCTCAAAGTTCGTTGATTTTGAATTGAGGTGTAATTCATCGTTCGATGTTATTAGGTGTAATTTGAGGCCTTGGGTAGGTTCGTGTTATGTTATGGGACTTGTTGATATAGTTGGTTGAGGTCTCGGGGGCCTCGGGTGAGTTTTAGATTGTTAACGGATTGATTTTTGAATTTAGAAGATTGCTCGAAATGAAGCCTTCTGGTGTAATCGCACCTGCGGAATAGTAGTCGCAGGTGCGAGCTCGCAAGTGCGAGCAGGGAAGCGCTGAAGCGAGATGTGCAGGTGCGGGAGGAACTTCGCAGGTGTGGAATCGCACCTGCGCGAGAAGGAGCGCAGATGCAGGCAGAGGGTTGTGAGGCATAGGTCGCAGGTGCGAGGGAAAAGTCCGCACCTGCGTGAGCGCAGATGCGGGAGGATGCGCACATAAGCGAAAACTGGGCAGGCGAGTAAAATTCGCAAATGCGACATTTTGCTCGCACAAGCGGTGGCACAGGTGCGCAGATATTGTCCGCAGATGCGGATCGACTGGGCAGAATCCTTTAAGTTCGAGGGTTTGATATTTTCACCCATTTTCGGATTTTGGAGCACGGTTTGGGCAATTTTGGAGAGAAATTTTCACACAACTTGGGGTAAGTGTTCTTGACTCCCTTGTGGTTATATTTTATGAATTAATCTTCATTTTTGATGTAAGATTATTGAATCTTAAGGAAAAATAGAAGGAAATTTCTATAATGTCACAAAATAAATGTTTCGAGTTTGAATACCGATTCAGAGTTGGAATTGAGTGAAATTAGTATGGTTGAACGTATAATTGGATGGGTTGTCGTATTTTGTAAGTTTCGTCGGATTTTGAGATGTGGGCCCCACAGGTGATTTTTGGGGCGTAATTTCGGATTTTGTGAAAAAATATTAGTATTTTGATATGGAATTAATTCCTATAAATTTTGTGGGCTGAATCAAATTAATTGTGACTAGATTCGAGCCGTTCAAAAATTGATACGCGTATAATGAGATTTCTGAAGCATTGTTCATCTTGCTCGGCATTGGATTTGGCTTGTTCGAGGTAAGTAACTCTTCTAATCTTGGAGCTGAGGGTATGAATCCAGAATATATATATTATGTGAATTATTGGGAGGTGACGCACATGCTAGGTAACGGGCGTGTGGGCATGCACTATAGAAATTATGACATAATTGGTTATGTGGAATTTTGTAGTTAAATAATCTTGGCATTTTCCATGCAGTTTTATGTGTTAAAGAAATTGAGCTGAAAAGCGAAAAAAAAATCATGTTGAGGCTATTTGCCAGTATTATTAGGACCCACAGAGGTCATATTGCTGTGAATTATTTGTTTTAAATTTAAAATTCATACTCAGTCATATTCATTTTATTACATATCATATCTCAGTCTCTGTTGCTATTTATTGATTCATCATATCATCCTTTTCGGGTTATTTTCATGACATTGTGAGCCCATGAGAGAGAGACTGGAGAGATTGATGACTGAGTGAGGCCGAGGGACTGATTGTGAGGATAATTATGGGATCGAGCTGCACACCGCATCAGACCATATTGTCTTTTTATACTTTATTATTATGTGAAACGGGGCTGCTCGCTTGCAGCAGGCCTTATTGGCTTATTATGGCACGTGAGTTGTCCATGCGGATTCTGACATGATATTATAGCACGTGCGTTATCCGTGCAGATTATAGCGCTTGGGCTGTAGGAGCCCCTCCGGAGTCTGTACATACCCCCAGTGAGCGTAGGTACCTACTGAGTGCGAGTGCCGAGTGACGAGTGACTGGGAAGCATGAGAGACGGTGAGGTATGCCCGGGGGGCTGTTTACGAGTGATTGTGAGGTAAGCCCGAGGGGCTATATACGAGTGATTGTGAGGTAAGCCCGAGGGGCTGTGTATGAGTGATTGTGAGGTCTGACCGATGGGCTGTTTATGATTTTATCACTGAGTTGCATCGCATTGGCATGCACACATAACATACAGACATAGAGATGTGTTTTCCTTATGCTGTACAATATCACATCATTCATGATTTCTCACACATGTTGACAGATGGGCATAGTGATGCATTTGTTTTACACTGGTTATCTGGAAAGGAAATGAAACATCTTACTTATTTTGGAAAAGACTTTTGGGAAAATTATTGTTTTCAAACTTATTCATACTTTTGGCAACTTCGGTAAACAATTTGGGTTTTCACTGATGTACTTGAAAGGAAGAACTATTTTTAGAAATCGTGATTTAGCTGAGCATTTTATTTCTGAGTTACTTCTTGTATTATTTGCTTCACGTTGTTATGGACTGTTATGGACTATTGGTTTTGGACCCGACCTTGGTGGAAGCTCGTCACTACTTTCAACCTAAGGCTAGGTTTGTTACTTACTCAGTACATGAGGTCGGTTGTACTGATACTACACTTCTGCACATTGCGTGCAAATATTGGTTGTTGTTGTTGTTGTGCTAGATAGTTGCGGGACTTGAAGGTGTACCTGCGTTCCTATTATAATTGTCTCTTGTTCATGGTAGCCTTAGATTTATAAAAGCTCTATTTATGTACTATTCAAACAGACTATGTATTTATTTCATTTTTGCTTTGTAAACTCTATTCTTAGGAGCTCATGATTTGTACTACCAGTTCTTGGGGATTTTATAAGGTTAAGACCTTTATTCACTTAAATTGCTTTAATAATTATTATTGGAATTGGATAGTTGGTAATTGGCTTACCTAACGGGTTGGGTTAGGTGCCATCACGACTAGTTGGATCTGGGTCGTGACAAGGTGGTATCTGAACTCTAGGTTCATAGGTTCTACAAGTCATGAGCAAGTGTCTAGTAGAGTCTTGCGGATCAGTATGATGACGTCCATACTTATTTTCGAGAGGCTACAGGGCATTTAGGATATATACTTCTGTAACGACCCGGCCGATCGTTTTGAATATTATAACCCTATTCCCCTATTTACTGCTCAGTTTATGTCTTGCAATTAATTTTTGACTTATCGGGTTAGTTGGTTCGGGTTCAGAAGGAACTCAGAGTGAAATGAGACACTTAGTCTCATAATTGTTTTTTTAAAAAAAGTTAAAAAAGTCAACC